ACACCATCTTCGCAGCCAGGCATTCACCTCCATGATGCATCTGTCTTCTGGTAGCTGCTTCCAACTTTCAGGTAGTTGGAAGCAGCTATCAAATTCCCCCTCATTCTTCTCTTCTGCAGACTAAACAATCCCAGTTCCCTCAGCCTCTCCTCATAAGTCATGTGCTCCAGCCTCCTAATAATTTTTGTTGCCCTCTGCTGGACTCTTTCCAATCTTTCACGTCCCTCGATCTTATGGCAATGCCCCTACTTATACAGCTCAAAATGCCGTTAGCCTTCTTGGCAACAAGGACACACTGTTGACTCATATCCAGCTTCTCGTCCAGTGTAACCCCTAGGTCCTTTTCTGCAGAACTGCTGCCTAGCCATTTGGTCCCTAGTCTGTAGCAGTGCATTGGACTCTGGACTTGTCCTTGTTGAACCTCATCAGATTTCTTTTGGCCCAATCCTCTAATTTGTCTGGGTCCCTCTGTATCCTATCCCTACCTTCCAACGTATCTACCACTCCTCCCAGTTTAGTGTCATCTGCAAACTTGCTGAGGGTGCAGTCCACGCCATGCTCCAGTTCATTAATGAATCATTATGTATAATGATAATCATAATGAATCATTATGTAGTCCCTTCTGGAGAACATCTGATCCCCAAGCATGGTAGAGTCCATTTGCTCCTCCTTCCGGCTTTGTGTCCCAGTTTAGGACCAATGAGCACTGGGTTCTCTGGAATTCATGGACTGATGGCAGGTCTCAGCCCTTAACTTGCTAGTCACTGAAGCTAAACTGCATTCTCAGTACACAGTGTATCCAGCTAGTGGCCTGGTGAATAACTTCATATGCAACCCTTGTGACTTCTAGGACATTACAAATTAAAAGCAACTGTAGACCAACCAAGTTTAAAAAGGAATAAACACATTATTAAGAGAAAGGATATGATTAATTTAGAAGACAGGAATTAGGTAAAGGGAAAAGGCAAGGAAACTGATTAATGAATGAACAGATTAAACCCCACAACCACAATCAAACCCTTCCTGAAATAAAGATATTCTTCTAATAAGCCAATACAGTCAAAATCCCACATAGACTATACAAATAAATAGGTGTGATCCCAGAGTCTGCCTGCAGGTCCCAGGTGGCTAGTGTGAATGCTGTTGTTGTGTTGGAGCTCTGTAGGGCTGATGGAACAGAGGTAAGTTGTGCAGTGAAATAATCATGTGGCAGGCTTGACCACCACATATGTGCAGTGTGGTGTCACCCACCCTTTTGATTCCAGGTGAGTTTTTAATAGGCTGTGCACCCACAAACCAGGACTTTCCTTACCCCTGGCATCCCTTTCTATCTATCTAGGTGATGTATCCCAAGTATTCATTGTTAAAGATTCAAGGCAGATCCCTCATTGGGTGGAGCAGATCCCAGGTGGCTCCAACCCTGGCTTTCCCTTGTTTTACAGGGCAAGAGAGGCCTAATGGGTGAGGCTGGCAAACAATCTTCTCCCTATGAATTCTTCTTTCCCTCTTGGGTTTTGCTTAGTTATTGGTTGGGTGGAAGAAGTGGTTTTGTTTCACAGACACCTAGGGGAGATGGAACATCCTCTGGGAAACTGGTTTCCCATTGCACTTGTGGCTGACAGGAAAACTGGAAGTTTTTTTTGCCTGCTCTACAGAGAGCAACCCAGGAGGTCTATCTCATACCCTTGCTAGCAGCCAGTACCCAACCACTGACTCCCATCACTTGAGCACAGTGCCTGTCCATGAGCAGGACATGGATGGGCAGCCTCCGCCATTTGGAAGTGGTTGTAGCCTGCAGGTGGCTGCCCGATCATTTCAGTCAGGCCTCTAGCCTGATGACTCCTCTTCTCTATCCCAATCCCTGGTGCTGGTTGTGGTCTCATTCACATGCTAAGACAAGCTGTTTCAGTTGCTGCTGTCTCAGTCTCTGCACTACACTCCATCTGTGAGAGCTCCTGGGAGCTGCCTTTCTGAAGCCCCCAAAATGTCAAGAGGCTACATGTATTTTATCTGTGGTCCGCACCAAATGAAATGCCCAAAAGACTTTGAGATGTACCATCTAGTTAATGTCAATCTCTACTGTAGTATGTTATTCATGCATTTTTGATCTGAGGGTCTCAAAACTCGTTAAAGACAATTAATTTGTTCACACAGTACCTTGTAATGTAGTTGTGTTACTTATTACCATCATCGACCCTATTTTATATATGTTGAAACTGAGGCACCCTGAATCAAAGAAAAAATCTATAGTAAAGGCAGTAGTAGAACTAAGAACTCCTAATGCTCTTAGGGCTTGTCTACACTACCGCGGTAGTTCGACGGCTGGCAATCGAACTTCCGGGTTCGATTTATCGCGTCTGGTCTGGACGCGATAATTCGAACCAGGAAGTGCTCGCCGTCGACTGCGGTACTCCACCTCAGCGAGAGGAGTACCGCGGAGTCGACGGGGGAGCCTGCCTGCCGCGTGTGGACCGCGTCTGAACCGCGGTAAATTCGAACTAAGGTATGTCGACTTCAGCTACGTTATTCACGTAGCTGAAGTTGCGTACCTTAGATCGAATTGGGGTGTTAGTGTAGACCAGGCCTTAGACTCCCTTCCTGTGTAATAGCAGGACCCTGCATAAAGCTATAATGTTGGTATTAGTGCCAACTATTTTAAGGTGACATGGAAGAAAAAGATGGTGGGACAATACTGAATTATACTTTATTAATTATGGTCACTGCCATGAGTATAAATGAGGGTTATTTGGAGATCTACATGTTGGTCAGATACTTGATCCTGGTCCATTTTAAAGCATTTTTAACATTAACTTTCACCTGAATATCCCTTTGATTGAACATAAGGGCAAATACACATGACATTACAGACAGGGAACTAAAACACAAAGGGTTATGTGACTTACTCAATGCCAAAAAGAGTCAATGGCAGAACTAAATATAAGAATTCAAACAATCCTGCCTCTCCCATTCTAATCATATCTTCATTAACTAATACTGTTTGAAGACTCTGTGTTCTCATTTGTTGGAAATATTACAATGCAGTGGTATCTTTTCCTTAGGGAGATCAGGGACCTGCTGGTTCACCAGGAGCACCAGGGTTACCAGTGAGTATGTTCATGAAAGAAACAGCTTATTTCTTGGGAAAAGTTGAAAAAAATGCCAAAGCATAAAAGATGCTCATCCACACTACTCATTACTATTTGTGGAGTAATGTTTGCTAGAAATTTTATAGACATGTATCAAGATGAGCTCCTTGACCTACAGAGTTTCCAATCTTAATAACATCAAAGGATACCCTTTTTAATAAAATGACAGCAGAGAATGAGATAAATGTGTGATACAGGTCTGAATTGAAGGCTGCTTATATATACTGTGTCAAAACAGTATACAGGATTGTTCTGAATCGCCTCAGTTTATTAAAAGGCAAATGAAGAAGCCATTTTATTTATTCTTGGAGATAAAAAAGCCTCTGAACGTATATCTAATATGTTGACATTAGGAGATGTCTCTGAAAGGCATTTAAGCTCACAGGGGCCAGCTAGAAATTTTGTTGTAGGTAAAGATAAATGCAACTATAAACTTAAACTATAAACTTTAGTTGTTCATTTTAATTGTTCATTTCTTTTCCTACATGAAATAAATGCAACTTTTCTTTAGATTGCAATTTCAGTTCACTTAAAAAGATATCCTCAGTGTTTCAGCAGGCAGTATGATAACAGCAGTCAGTTTATGCAAATAAACTCATTACTATTAAATTTGGGAAGCTCCTAACCAGCTCAGGAACTGCTTTTTAATTATGAATGTGTGTCATGAATTTAAAAAGGTAGTCAATGTCTCTACATTCAGTTTCCATTAGCCACTGTTCCAATAAGAGAAGAACACCAAGATTAAGCAGTTCAATTTAATTGCGGTCCTGTAAAATAAGTAAAAAGTGTACATCCAAAAGAAAGGAAAGAAGAAAGAAGTCATTTTTCTGAGACTCAGATGTAGCATAAGAGCTTCAAGGCATGTTGCTGTAGAATCAGAATGTATCAAATGTTGGACATTATGAATTCAATAGTGCAGTAGCAAATTAGACTAATCATAAATGAAGCTACAATTTAGTCAGAGCTATTTTTAGTAAAAGTCATGGACAGGTCATGGGCAATAAACAAAAATTTATGGCCCATGACCTGTCCATGATTTATACTATAAATACCCCTGACTAAATCTTGGGGGAGGTGCTACTGCCGGGGGGTGCACCCAGGGTTGGGGTCTGGGGCCAGGCGCACCAGCTGCCAGGGGCCCCTGGAGCAGCAGTTGCTCTGGCCGCCCTGGGGACCGCTGCTCGGGCATTCCCCAGGGCCAGCTGCACCGGCACTGCTCAGGCGGTCCCCAGGGCCAGCTGTCCCAGGTCACCTGAGCAGCAGTCGGTATGGCTGGCCCTAGGGCCGCTCCAGCAGCGGCCGGTGCTGCTGGCTGTGGGACCGCCCGAGCAGCTGGCTGCAGAGCTGCTCCAGCAGCAGCTGGTGTGGCTGCCCCAGGGCCACCTGAGCAGCCCGCTCCGGAGCCAGCTGCTTGGGCAGCCCTGGGGTCAGCCACAGTGGCCGCTGCAGAAGTCACGGAAATCGCGGAAAGTCACGGAATCCATGACTTCCGTGACCTCCATGACAGACACAGAGCCCTAATCATAACTGTTCATTCCCTGTGGATTTCTCAATGGTTATGTCCCAAGTCATGTTTCAGTCAGTGTAAAGTATTGTTCTCAATTCTGGCTGGATACGAAATATTTAATGAGTTTGTTTCATCTCTGATGTAAAGCATCCCATTACTTGTGATTCTGTGAAGGCCTGTAAAATAAAGTATTTGCTTTAACATTTTATACTAAACAATTTTCATTAATAAATTGAAAGGTTTATGACAGAATCATTATAGTTTATTAGTCTGGGAAGAACATTGGGAGTTTTTCCAGATATCTTACCTTAGGGGAGATTGGTCCTGTTTGACTGGAATTCATTCCCTAGAATCTAGGCAAGCAACTTTTTTCCCAGTTGGGGATATTAAATATCTCTTTGTATTTTAAGCTGTTTTCTGAGTAAGAGTTTTAGAGAAACTCATACTAAGAAACTGAAAAAAACTCCAGAGCCCCCACTTGCATAGAGCTAATCCTTCATTCCTTATGCATCCAAAACTTCTACAGCAGTCAGTGGGTCAGATCCTCAACTGGTGTAAATCACCATAGCTCTGTTGGTTTTGTTTCAGAAAGTACAATTAGAATAAAAGAGAGTTATGTCCATTATATATTTCCTGTATTTATCAAATATCAGAAGGGAAAACATTTGTGGGGTTTTTTTGTTTGTTTGCTTCTTGTGAGTATACAAGCTGTTCATGTCATTCTTTTAAACTTCGGAAATACCTTCTTCAACATGCCCCTTCTTTATATGGTAAGTGGTGGGGGAGAAAGGAAGAATATGTGTGGTATTAACTGTTTCAGCTAAGGCAGAGTATCAGAACTCTTTGCTGTAGATACAGAGTTAGTACAGGTCTAATCATGTGTTAGGAACTGATGAGTGACAAGATGGAATTGAATGTTAGATGAGTTGGAGGGTATGATAAGTTAGGCTCCTTAGCTTAAGCAGATGCTGTCCTACAATGGACGGACACATTTGAATTGATGATACTCTTCACTACCTTGGAAAATGGGTGTAGTCAACTTGGACTTATAATAAATGCCAAGAGGAGAAAGTGTTTCATTTTGGAACATGGACAATAGATAAAGTGTTGAAATGCAGCAGGGGAGTTGTAGAACAAGTAGAATCTTATGTGTACCTAAGAAGCTCAATCAGTGCCAACAGTTGCATCAAGGATGAGTTTAAATGGGGATGTGCCTTAGCCACAAGTGCTGCACAGAAATTGGTGAAATCATGGACTGAAAAAAACATTACATTTGGTACCAAAATGAAAATTTATTAGACTAGTGTATTGACAGTATTACTCTATGGGCTGAAAGCAGCTGCCTTAAATGAAACAGACATCAGAATGCTGGAGGCAGTAAAGATGAGAGTTCTTTGAAAGGTGGCAGGTATAAAGTGGAATGATTTAAAGACATAGGAGAGTAGGATGTGAAATCAGGGTAAGAGATTCGCCCACAATTGAAAACATTATGAGGGTGGGGATGCTGCAGAAGGAAAACTGATGATAGGATGCCAAAGAAAGATCATCCAAACACAACCAGTGTCTGTCAAATCTGAAGGCCAACCACCAACTAGATAGCGGGACGTCGTGTGCAGGGACATGAGCAGGCCGGGTGTAATGCAGCAACAAGTCATGGACAGGAAGGAATGGAAATGCTGTACTGCTCCCATGTCTGATAGATTATCTGGGATGAAAATAAGATGACTTGGAGAGTGATTTCACTTGGCTAAACTAAGCAGTATTTGTTTTTGGACAAGGAATTGGATAAATAGGAAACAAAAATAAACAACTGTGTTTTAAAGCATTTCTTACAAAATACTTCTGAAAGGTCTCCGAAAGCATTTAGTGATGTGTTAATTACATGAACATTTTGACCAAATAAGCATAATATTTTCTGTTTCATTTAAAGGAAATTGATATTTTAGGTCTGTTAATTTAGATTTTAAATGTTTCTCTTTGGTCTCCCTCCACAGGGAAAGACTGGATCTCCAGGACCACCGGGAATGCCAGGGGAACCAGTGAGTGCATGTTTGAACTCTGGCTTATTATGTTGCCATTCCTACATGTTAAATATAAAATGGAAGATTTTATATATTTGTGTGTGTTCTTCTCATTTAAGGGTGAAAGAGGCCCTGTAGGAGACATCGGCTTTCCTGGGCCAGAAGGGCAATCTGGAATACCAGTAAGTAATTAACCACATACCTAGTGTCTCTGATAAGCATAGGCTAGTGGTGGCTAGCCTCTCCTGGCTGCCTGCACTGCTGTGACTATACTCTACTTTTAGTACACTAGCTCAAATATGTCTCCTTGAGCTTGGAATCACACCCAGCTCCAAGTGTAGACACACCCTTCATGTGCTACACTCAGCCTTGTCAGAGATTACAGAATAAATAGATTTGACCCTGATAATATATGGATAGGTAACCTCAAATGAACATCTGGTGCTGTAGAACCAGGCATTGGTCATGCAAGTCCAAGTTCATGCTGGATGAGGGTTGGGATTGTCATGGGTAGTTATGTTATTGAATATGTCCTGAGGGCCCTTTGAATCCTGTTGACAAAAATGATCCCCTACAGTTTTGTTTTGTTTTTTGGAGTAGGGATGTTAATCCAAGAATTCATACAGTCTATAAAAGATGGCCTGCCCAAATTCCTAACTTCAGATTAGTAAAAAAATGTTTGATTCATAACTCTGTCATAACTCCTCTGTAGGCTGCCAGTGCAACATAGCAGCTGAAGCATTCTGCTCCCTGAGAGGTAGTTGTGAAGTGGTCGAGATACTGTTGCAGTTCACTATACTCTTCAGGGGCAGATTTTCAAAAGAACCCTGCACCTCCCATTTAATCTCCTAAATGAAGAGGTCAAATTTTCAAAAGGTGTCTTTACCCAGTATTTGCCATTGTACTAAATGGGAACTGGTGTGTGTTGAGCAACTTTGAAAATCTGACCCTGCAGCCTCAAATTCATTTAATTAGTAATAATAATAATAGTTATTTCTATTCTGGTAGTACCCAGGGGTCTCAGGCAGGACCAGGAACCCATCCTGCTAGCTTCATCCTCTGGACACCGTAAAGATGGGTCACTATGCACAGTATTTAACTGTCTTGGAGTAGTGACCTGTCCTTCTGTTTTTCTGTAAAGTACAATGCACACAAGTGACTCTTACTAAATAATAAATAAATAGCAATAGTTGTAATGTTATATGGAGTTAAAGGTGCTTAGGAGTAACAATAAAGTCAGTATTGCCAAGCCCAAGCATTACAAATATCATGAGCTAGCCCCCAAAAAATGTTGAGATGAGCTTAAAAAACATGAATTTAAATATATATATACAAGCTTTGTAGTTTTTGAGTCTTGGGGTTCACTTGGGTCTTATTATTCTCTTATAATTGCTTGATTCTAGGACCTGTGCTCCTAAGAAAACCACCAGATATCACAAGACTTTCAATAAAATTGCAAGAGTTAGCAACACTGTACAGTAGTTTTTTGTAACATATTAATCTAATAATACCATTGTCACCAATGGCTAATGCTGCATTTGTGCTCACGAGTCCAGGAGCAGACAGAGTGAGAGGTGCAGGTTCATTGAACATCTCTTTAAACCCTACAGATTCAGCCATGAAGTAACAAACCTCTAATAGCAATATTTAAATTGCAGTCTAACGGGGGGAGTAATTGTAAAATTATTGTGTGTGTGTGTGTGTTTTGTTAGGGCTATATTTTCTTACTTTAACGTAGAAACAGATTTTATTCCTCTTGGCATTACATTCAATACAAATATAGATGGATGAGCTGGCCTCCCTGTTACTTTAGCACCCCATTAACAAAATATTTTGAGCTAAGCTCTGAGTCAGAATCTTTATTAGTGGTCAGGTTGGTAGAAAGAATATGGCTGGATTTTGAGAGCCTAGACTGAGTCTGATGGGCTGACATTTACAACTGAGAATATCGTTTTTTAAATTGGGCAATGTGGAAGTAAGTGAGCAAGGTTATAGAACCTGTATAGAACCTATACTTATTCTCCTTTACTTTCTTCCATGCCAAATTTACCCAGTTTAAAAACTGGTCTGAAAATCTACATTTGTTAATGCAGCCCCAAAGCTGTAGTAGTGACTGCCATTGCACTACCCTGGGATAAAATTTAGGAGATCTCCAGAGAGAGAGAGAGAGAGAGAGAGATCTATTCCTCATTTCCCTCAGCCTGATCCCTCTCCCTGCCTCAATCAATTTACTGTATGAGCAAACGCATAGTCCTCCTGGAATTGCATTTACAGTGTGCAAGGGAAATACTCTCCATGTGCATACTCCTCAAATTCTTCCTTCTCACTCAGCAGAACCACAGTGGTTCTGCTGCATCTGGGTGACTGTGTGGAGAGGGGTCTGGATTTATCACAAATGCAATTCAAAAATTTCTGAGTTATTTAGATCGATGGGCACTTAGGCTGGTTTATAGCTTTACCTTCAACTTCCCTTTCCATCTGTTCCCTGAAATGTTGCATCAATTAAGGGCCAGTAGCTACAGTAAGAGAAATGTGTGCCATATTTTAGTGAATGTGTAGCACCGGGAACATGCTCATTCAGTTCCATATCTATAGAACCTACTCTGACTTGCAGAATTCCAAATTCAGTTATCTTTCAAAATTGCATCATCACAGAATAACGTGCTGACTAAGAGCAGGGCCGTAGCAACAAAGAACGTGGCCCCCTCCAAACGGTGGCCCCCTCCGAACATATGTCCGGGCGGGGCCCCTTACAATGCAGAAACTGGAATGCGGTATTTATTTTTCCACTTTTAGGGGCCCCCTTCCTTGCGGGGCCCCCTCCGGTCGGAGGGTACGGAGAGCGCTCGCTACGCCTCTGACTAAGATGTTATTTTACCTATGTCCTCCTCAACTCCAATCTAGCATGTTGTAGCTGTGCAGTTTAAGCTCAAACTTACTTGTCTGTCACATCTTCCAGCTCTTTACACTTGACTTCAGCCGTCACCAAAACACAAACCTCTGACTCAGCTATTTATCTTTCAAAATATTTATTAATGCCATCACAGATCACAAGGTTTTCCTTGCCTGTTTCTTATTTTTAACGTATTTATTTACCTGCAGTTATAGTAAATTGTTAAAACATAGTTTTCTCTTTATAGGGAATAAATGGAAAAGATGGATTGCCAGGACCTCAGGTAGGAAAACATAATTTGCAGTGTTAATATATTTCACAGATAATGTAACTGTTAGTCCTAGACAATTACTTTCAGCTGTGTTAATAAATTAATGTATAATCAAGTTGTTAAGCAAGGTATTTTACACTTTCAAAAAAATTTATTTTCAGGGTCTGATGGGAAGAGCAGGTGACAGAGGTCCCAAAGGAGAACGTGTAAGTCTTGGTGTAATAATCCTTTCTAGTATATACCATTATTTGACTTTGCTCTTTGGAGAACATCCAGATGTCTGTCTAGTATACTTTTAAATCTTCAAGACAAGAAGCTCAGGGCCAGAGTGGGGGGACTAGAATTTTAAAGGAAAAATTCAGCATTTGTGAAGAGAAAAGGTTTGTAACATTTTTTCCTAGCAAAGATGGCCTTGACAATATAAATCAATCACTAGGGTGGAAAGGAACAAGCAGCAACGTTCTACTGCAGCAATAGGCAGCTGAGGGAGCGATAAAGATTCCCCCCTCCACTCCCCAGGACCCCGGCATGCACATATGTTTTACATAAAATGATTCAGTTAAGTTTGAGTTGGGAAGTCAAGAAATCATCTCACTTAGGCAGCCCCGTGCATAGCAATGTGATTATGTTGCCCAGGAATCAGTTATATTTGGGGGAGGTGCAAAAAAATTATTTTGCAGGCTTACCCAAAAATGCTAGTTCTGTCTCTGTCTCCATCGGCAGTTCTACACTGTTAATGTATCTGTTCCTCAGAAATAAAGCCCCACAATTCCAATGTAACATCATCAACAACACAATTTAGTTGTAAAATCAGAAAATCCTGTCCCTAGGGTGGGAACGGTGAACTGCGGCCACTGGGAGCTGCGGGGGGCCGTGCCTGCGGACGGTCAACGTCAGCGAAATGTCTCGCGGCCCACAATCAGATTACCCTAATGGGCTGCATGTGGCCCATGAGCCACAGGTTGCCCACCACGGCCCTAGGGTAACTTGTGAGGAGGAACTCAAGATTATAGTGTGGAGAAAGAATGAAGTTTTTATCATTGTTAAAATAATTTCCACCTGTGTGGATTAACGTTTTGCAATTTTCTATTCCCGCCTTTAAAAATAAAGGACCCAAATGAAACTTATGAGCCATCTTCTTATTAAACATTCCACTACCTACAATGTTATATTACTATACCTTGACGGTATTCTTTAATTTTATTGACTCTCCATGTAATTAGTATCCATTGAGATAAAGATAAAGGAAAAGGCCACCCATACAAAGGTTGGACACTAAAACATACATTGGGTGCCCTTACAACTTTTCTGATTCTTTGAAAGTGTCAACCAGTTCTAGCAGTACTCAAATATAATTGGTGGGATTCTGAGCAGTGTGGCTGCCCCAGAAGCAGCTTCTCTTCACCATTCTGCACAGTAGATGTTCCTGTGCTCCCTGCATTCTGCTACTAAGGAGTAAATTGCTAAAAAGGGGTAGGAGAGGGGATCATGGCCCTTGCTCCTCTCTGCACCAGAGTTGGACTCTGACACTAGGGGGAGAAATCAGTTCCATCCTAGTGGATGGAATAGATTGTATACCTTTGCCCTCAAAAAAGCAATTATGCCTGCCTCTGCTGCTCTTCTTGGAGCACAACTTACCACTGTGTGGAAGAGCCGCACTTAAAACATTCATTCACTTTTTAGAGATAATGATGGTTCCAGTGGTACTTGCCATTTTAATTATAAAGAATCTCTCACAATCTTGTAAAACAGAAGGACCATGAATGCAACCACTGTACTACTGTGTTTACAGAATGAGGATGAAATTAGCCTCCTCTATTGGAATCTATTTTTCAAATTCTGCAGTTGTTCTGCAAACACTAGTCCCGTTGATGTCAACTGAAGATTTGCATGGGGAACAATTGCAGAATGTACAATAGAAGTCTGCATTGCAGATAAGAGATCCGCATTGCCAATTGGAGAGGAGAAATTTAGTTGGAATTAGGTATTAAAGCCCTGCTCCTGTTAGAGAGATTGCAATGATAACAGAAAATAGCACAAGTCAGTCCATTCTGCAACAGTGATTATACTGCCTCCCTTGATTTCTTTCATTCCTAGCCCCAATATACCTTCTTCAGGTTGAGAGCAGCTGTAATGATTATAAAATAAGAGAAGCATCAATCCTTGAAGGGCAGAATGAAAAGGAGAAAATGTTTATAGTGTGGACAATTTCATATCTAAGTTTTTGTAGAGTCCAGTTTGAGAAGGAATGGGACCAAGGTGGGTGCATGCAGGCTGAGATAACTGTACATACCCTTAGGTGATTAGACACTGCAATGATAGGTACTTTATAAATGGCATACAACTTGAGATGGCACTGGATGCCATTTGGGGCGCATCTACCATACATTCAAATCCTAATGACTAAGTCACTTCATTTGGCTCTGTCATTTGATTTGCCTCATGCACCCAGAATAGAACCATGTTGGCATCCTGTGAAATAAGAATCAGTTTAAAAATAAATGCTATTTCAGGACTTCAGTTAATTTTGGATGTTATGTTATTGGTAGAAATTCAGAATCACTTTTTTTATTAAGTTAAATATGCCCAATATAGTATTTTTAAATTGCTATGGTAATATTAAAATATTGTAGGCTCCCAGAAGTGCTTCTATCAGATCAGTTGTGTCCTGCAATAGAACCTTTGTCAAAGAGAAATCAGCATTTCTAAATTTTTTGGTGAAACCCTTATCCATCCTTAAACTACTAAATTCTAAACCAGTAAAATGGTAATTATACATACATTTGTGTTACTGAAACTCTTAAATCAGGCTTCTTGTAAATCTACTTTATTTCAGGTTGCTATTTTGTTCATAGTCTAGTTTGAATTCATAATGACGGCAAAGCAGAATTGGGTCTGTTGAAGTTTCTTCCAGGCCCAACTTCAATCTAAAAAAGAGAAATCATACTGATGGTTATTCTTCTTCCCACTTTCAATATTATACTCACTCCAGAACAGGATTTTCTCATCAGTCTCATTTTAGAATGCTTCTCTGGCATTCAGTTTGCCAAGGAAAAACTAGTACATGCGGTCAGATCCTTCAGTCCTTATTCAAGCAGAACTCCCATTAGAATCAGGAAGGAGCCCATTTTATGAAAAATGTAGATCTGTATCTGGGGATGACATCAGGATCTTTCCCCTACTATGAATTTTTCAAGATGCTCCAGTCATTTCCTGTATGCTTTAGGAAGTCTGCAAGAGAGAAGCCCACTCCTATAAATCTTAGATGCTTCATACCTGGAGAAGACATTTTTAGTCTCCACTCTCTGCAGAGCTCCTAAACTGCATCAGCACTGGGCTTCTTCAGCCACACCCTTCAAAACAGGCAGCATCCTTTTCCTAGTCCCTTCCCCCCTTATAAGTTCCACAATGACTGAGACAAGGATTCCACTGGAACCTTCATTGCATATATTATTTATTGTTAGTATTACTGTAGCATCTGGGCAACTAGTCATGGACCAGGACCCCACAGTTTTCTGCGCTGTTAAATCCTTGCACACCTTGCAAAGGTGAATTAGCTGAATTAACTATGTATGTGCAGCAAAGACTTCTTCAGATGTATTATATTTTTTTCACCCAAAAATATAATATGCATGCTCAGTAGACTTTTCCATGGGAACCTAAATGGCTGCAAATTAATGTGCTTCAGTAATACTGGCAGAGTAGCTCTCTAAAAAACATCATGTTAATATATTCTCTGAATACATAGCTATAAGAGAATGTTATTGTGCCACTCTGATGTCTTAAATGTCCACTATTGTTAGCAGTTTGGGACAGGTTACATTGATATATTGGTTACAGGGTTGGGGATTCTTCTTCAAGTGTTTGCTCATGTCAGTTCCATTCTAGGTGTGCCTGCACCCATGTGCACAGCCGTCGGAGATTTTTGCCTTAGCGGTACCCATAGGGCTGGCTGTGGTGCCCTCTAGAGTGCCGCGCTCATGCCGCTGTATATCAGGCACCGCCGGCCCACGCCCTCTCAGTTCCTTCTTACTGCCCATGGTGGTCAGTCAGTGACAAGAGCTAGCAGTTTTCTTCCCTTGGACTTCGTGCCTTCGGGCCTCTTGTATATAGTTGATAGTGTTAAGATAGTTAGGGTCCCAGCGGGGACCTTTCCCCAAGGCGGGCCGTGCCCTGGCATCCTGGGTTTAAGCCCTGCTCAGACTGCAGCAGGCCTATGCCTGTGAGTGACCCCCATAACAGCTGCCTTAAGTGCTTGGGGGAGTCACACGTCAAGGAGCATTGCTGGATCTGCAAGAACTTTCGGCCCCGCACCCAAAAGGAGTGGGATATTCACCTCAGGGCTCTCCTGATGGAGTCCGCCCTCCGTCCAGTTTCCGAGCCTTTCACGCAGGCTGCACCGAGCGCCCCAGCCTTCTTGCGCAGCACGCCACTGGCACCTGGCTCTTCTCAGCACCGTTCATCATTGCCGGTACCGAAGAAAAGGCTAAAAAGCGGTCTCCGCCACCGAGTAAGAAGGGCCAGGGGTCATCCAGCAAAGGACCTGGGCCTGCTTGCCAGCCTTCTCCAGAGCCGCGCAAGTGTGCCTCCATGACCGGGGTTCTTAGCCCCCTTAAAGGTCCACCACCAACTCCTGAGTGTGGTATGGGACCCACAACCTTGCCTGAACCATCATCATCCCAAGCCCAGGCACGGAGAGAGCGCAGGTCTCCACATGCTCCTAGGATGTCTTTGGTGCTGCAGGAACAGGCTAAGGCTCCCCGAGAAGGCAAGCCTACCATGAAGACCCCTGGTGGGGGAGCACCACCAGTTGCCGGACAAAAAATGTCGATCTCCACTGCGTAGAGCATCCAGAGACAGGTCCCAATCTCGTCGTTGGTCGCTCTGACTCTCCTCCTAGTCTCCTCGGTGCTACTGTCCAGCACGGGGTCGACGCTCCCCATACTTTGACCAACATCATTCACCCTCTCAACGATCCCAATTGCTGGAACCATGGGAATGTTCCCCATCTTTTGCTGGTTTCCATGGCACCGGTCTCCTCGACGCTGATCTCCCTGGCACCAGGACCACACTCCCCGGTACAGTCACCAGTCAATTAAGCCCGGTAGCCACGACCAGTAAACAGACGCAGGTGTCGACGGCTCCTCCCTGGTTGCCAGAAGTGGTTCCTCTGGCATGGAGGCTCAGTTCAGCCCATCGCCCCGGT